CGTTATATCGGTGATTTCCGAACGAGGAATCCATTCAAGTCTTGAGTCTTCATCTTCACTTTCTAAGGAGGCTTGAACCAGGTTGTCGATTGCTGGATTATACATGTTCTTGACCCCTGATACTAACGACATGATTAAACAAAATTTCAAGGAGAGGTTCTTTATTGTGTTACGACAGCCGTTACACATTATTCCCGTGACCCGTTATACAATTGACAATTATATTATTAAGGTGGAATCCCGTTCGTTCAGTAATTGTATGTGTGCACAACACAACAATTAATTTACTCAATCCGATAGACCGACTTTCCAAGCTTATCTGATTGCTAGCTTTGCATAAATATAAACGAGCTACACTAACCACAAATTACCCTTTTCAGTAATATGGATAAAAAAATAGTTAGGTAGATAGACTTGGCCAAGAATTCGACCACTTTATTGTTTTTTTCCTGTATAATTTTGATTATATCATTACGTCACCATAATTTCATGGGACAAATATTATGTTGAATTTCAGTGAAATGATTCTATTATTCACTCTCTATCAATGTGTCACAAAGCATCAACTAAAAGATCTGATAATATTATTAATGAAATGTCATACGTTATTACGAAAATGCACATCTCTTTTTTCGTTACAACCAAAGATATCAACTGACCCAAATGCCTGAAAACTGCATTAGATTGAGTTTCACTACGTATCCTATATAATTCAGTTAGCATGTTACGACGAATAAGCGTTTGTTTTACAACTGAGGAAATTGAAATTAGGAAGAAGACTGTTTATACAGTTTTCGGGAAATGTTGGTTATGCAAAGTTATTATGATAAACAATTCGTTGGGCCAAAGTTTTTCCGAGCATAATTACGCTTATCGTAGTATTTCGTTGCTAAAGACAAACTTTCCGTCTTACGTAAAGTTGCAAAAATTGATAAGTGCATGAAGTTATATGATAAAGTGTTTATGGTATGTGTTATTGAATTAACATGTTCTCAAATAACACTTTTTTTTAACAGGTCTTGCTAATAGTACAATTGGGGTTGTTACAGGCATGAACTATGCTGACATAACACAGTTAAAGTGACATTTCCTACTTCAACTGGTGTGTGACATCATTCCTTATTGGTGGTGCACCATCTTAGCAGAACTCGCAAAAAAGTTCAAGTCAACGCAGCTGTTACCATATTACAAACTCACCTCGCTGAATTTACGGCATCGTACGCGTACAGTTGCGTCAACGAAAGTCATTAGCGCTTACATGTACGACGCGAAACGTTAACATACTTCAGCGAAACGTTAACATAACCATACGTTAGGCATGATTTCAGCGAACAAAATTTTGATATAACAATTAGTTGAAAATATTATAATAATCCAACTATATTAATCAATTTATTACCATTTACATGTTCACAGTTAATAAATTGTCAGTGCCATGCTCTGATTCAATTTTTATACAATTAATATAGTATAAGCGATTTACCCGTCTTCATGTTAGTTCATATTTTTACATTCCATCTTATTTGGCTTTGTAGAAAACCCCGGAAAGCCTATTATTACTGTTACCAGTTTAATGCGAGTACGCAATCGCGTAGCAGGCATCAAACATCTCCTGTATGAAAATCATAGTTCACCAAGCGATCAGGTAATAATAAAGTGGACTTACAATTCAGATAGCTACGCTAAATATAATCAGTAGTTGTATAACTTCAAGCCGAATATAATAAGTTAGAATCAATGTCTAGCTTGGTTCAAAAGTCACTAAACTTTGACTTGCATTTAATCGAGTATTATGTGACTGTTGACTCTACCCTATGTGCTCACTACCTTATGTTCTCATGCCCCGAGTCACAAAGTCATTATCTGGCTGGGTAACTATCACTGCAGCAGTTTGTTACTCCCCTGACGTACTCCAGCTTCTCTTTCTCTTGACAACACAGAAACCCTATCACCGGCATATATTTATTTTTTGCATTTTTTCATGAGCTACACGTAAACCACCATCCACAATATTTCATATCGACTTAGTGTGTAAATTTGACTGATAATAGTCGACCGGAGCTATGTAAGTTTCTTCTCGCTTGGAAACCCCAGCGACAACGAATTAATCAGAGTTGTGCGAATTAAATTTTATGACAAGACCACACTTTCCGTACAAAGATTATGTAATTCACCGAAAACCGATTTGAGGTTTATTACTGTGAAAAAGACTTTGACATTTTTGTCCAAATATTTACACATTCGACCATCTAATTCACTCTTTACGTCAAAAAGCATATCCAGAAGAAGGGATGTTTAGGTTACTAGAGAGGGAGAGGGAGAGGGACTGATACCTCAACAGCAAGTCCCCAAGATTTTGTCCGCCGAGTTGCAAGAGGGAGTCTTTTAGCCGTTCGCCACTGTACAAGCCTCTATTCATCACTGATTACGGCTCCCAACACAACGATAACTGGGAGCAATAACCCGGATAAACTCTTTCCCGCTCCGTTATAGGAACGTCGGTTTAGACACATGTGTATCTGATTTTTAGAAATGTACTCGAATAGCCTGATCCAGAGTCGACTCGTTTGGGCAATACGGACACTTGAAGCGACTATGAAGCAGTAGATTGAGGCTTAGTTCAAGGTAGAACACATCTCTTTACCAAATATGTTCAATCTTACCTGTTAGCTTTACTCAGTTTGTTTAACGACTCTTTGCAGATGACGTGTCCACATGGCATCATCATAGGCGGATTCTCTTCTGTCGATTGCTCCTTTGACACGGGGCATGCGAATATTGAATGATATCGCATATCATCTGGAAGAGGAATCTCGACCGGTAGTTCATCCTGTTGACTCCATTCGTTCTTTTTCTCTTTCATTATCGTAGCCATTTTAATGATTGTAGGAAGCGCCATTGCCCCAACCGTTACACTGAAAAGGTATTGCCGGTTAATCATATCATTCGAATCAGAAATAGGGTGTGCATGCATACGTGTGTGGAAAGGGAGGACGAGCCTATATACCTTATAAAGAGCGGACTCTCCCAAGACATTCCTAATAGACTACAAAAGTCTCTTGTGAATTGATGCTGAATGTCCGTCCATGAATCGGGAGATAATAGCTCGGCGTAAGGTGATGTATTTAGTTTATTAAAGTACGCTATAGAACCCATGAGGCGTTGGATTTCTAGTTGAAAGATTCATAGCAAAATGGTCAGATCAATATATGACGGGTTTAGAAAAGGTATGCGTGTGATTCGGTTAAAGGATGTTTGTATGATACCTGCAAGATGTCTTTCTTTGAAATAATGGAAATTATTTTTTGCATATATTATTGCTTCCTCGCTACGTTGATTTGTAAGACATTGCACAAAGTGGAGACGATGGAGTTGAAACTCTAACGAACTCCCCCGTCGCTCAAGTTCTTCTCTCTTGGATCCGGCCCATCTGCCAAAAAAAAAAGGGGGGGGGGGTGTTATAAACAGATTCAGTATCGTCTTTATAAGTATCAACGCTTCTACAAAACGCAATGTTCCTTACATACATTAAAGCCGGTCCCAAGTCATACACCTTAATTGCCTCGAGAATCTGGTACATTTCAACAAATTGTGCTTGAGGCATGTCGGAAATATCCAGCTCGGCTTCCTGTAATGGGCAGGGTGCGGGTATCGGTCACAAAATAGTTGTCTCTGCTTTTTGTTTTTCATTACCGATTCATATTCCTATTCGTTGCTTACCCTCATAAATGTATTCCCAAGTTCAAATTTCCCTTGCCGAATGAAATGTAAAGCAATAGTTTTCTGGAGTATTTTCTCTTTCTCTGAAAATGCGTTTGCATTAGTCGCTATTGTAATGTCTTGTTTCCATTTCTAGAATAAGGGTCAGGGTTCAATGATCAGCCTTGCGCCCAACGTTTGTTGGCAGTATAGTTTTAACAAGTCTTTTACATTTGAAGAAAGTTCTCCATTCCCTTACCTTATCAATGGCTTTTCCGTACTTGTTCAAAGTTGACTGAAAATCCTTATGTTCGTCAAGGGTTTGACTTGTAATATCTTTCACTCGTCTTGACAGGTTATAAAGTTGGGTAGGGCAACTCTGCGGACCTAGAATCCAGTGGAATCTATGTTTAGTCGAGGAAGAGACGTGGAATACGGTCTCTCACATAAAATTCAGTTCAATTACAATTTTCAAACTGTGCTCTTGCTTCGTTTATTGCCCCTATTATTCTATCTATGCTGTCAATAGAGCCTTGAGCAAGCGTGGCATGCTTTTTGGAAACTTTCTCATGTTCTTTTAAAATAGTCTCCATCTTCAGTTAACAGAGCAGAGGGTGTAAGTAACGTCAATTGAATGTCTTTCCCACACTCTGTCACTCTTACCCAAATTTACTTATGTTGACCCACGGAACGCAATGTCATTTACGCCACAAATCATAATAATGAATAGTTTATCCATAATTTCTGGGTTACAGGCAGACATAATCCCGGTTGTTGTAATATGATCGTTAACCTTATTAACATTCTGTAAACCCCTAACAAAAAGGTAATAATACGCTTTGTACCAAAGTCACTTTTTCCCACAATCGTGGTCAGCGAAATGGTTGAAACTTTGCTTTTTAAAGTTTCTCGGATTTATTGGTGGTGAATATCATAATGGAGCAAGGTATATTTATTAGGCAGCATTCACAACATGATTTTTAATCATTAAAAGATTACGCAGTGTCAACCCAATTTATTATACCGATAAAACCTCGGTTTAAGCCAGACCGGTCCTATTAGAGAGTACTGTTACAAAGATGCGATCTATGCCGATACCGGTAGAAATGATCGTATGAGTTTGCCAATATTATTTCTCAATTACTTAAAGTTAACCAGATACAGTTTGCGTATTTCTCCAACTTTAACGTTATTTGAACAAGAGAAATTTTGATTTAGGCATAGGAGTAGGGCCAATTATTATGTACGAGTTCTTGATGGATGTATTCCTTTCGGTTCGCGCAGCCATTTAAACCAACAATGAAGAATCGTTTGTTATGCCTCAACCAAAAAGCGGCAAGTTGTTTTGAATTTATATTTTTAAAACTCGATTACAACATGGTAGCTAATTGAAATCAATACGATTACATAACCTTGTATTTGCATTACATCTCTGTAATTACTGTTAATATTATTTAAGACAACCAAACCGTAAGGCTTACAAATACCTTTCTTATCGCAAGCAAAACGTATTTGTATGATTGTAATTGCTGAATCTGTCGGATGCGCGACAAGTCTTTGATAACATCTAGCGATGCTCGCTCGCGAATTTGTTCAAGAAACCTTCTTCAATATCGCAATGCCGGTTCGTTTGGTACTAATAGTAATAGAACTATAATGGAGTGAGTAACTGATATCACACAGTCAAGGACCAAAGAAGAACGTTCACAACAGACGTAATTACAAGTATAAGGGCCGG